GTGTGTGTGTGTGTGTGTGTGTGTCGCTGATATGGCTTGTGTTTGTGTGTGTGTGTGTGTTTGTTGCTGATATGGCTTGTTCATTATCCGTTGATTGGCCGCTATCGTCGCCGTTAACGTGAGCTGGCCGTTATCGTCGCCGTTAACCTACTGCGTGCAATTAGGGCTATCACCCAGAGGAGAGAAGAGAAGACACGCAAGTACAGATATTTGTGCGAACACATGCACACAAGTTCTGTTTTTTTTCTCTTTTCTTTTTCTTTTCTTCTTCTCTTCCTGCATCGTAGAGTACGTATGTTGTGTAACTTGCTGTCTGTGCGCTCTCCGCACCAAGAGATGGAAGGGTATCGTGTTATGTTAGTGACTTTCGGTGATGCATCTGACGGTAATGATGGCCAGAACCAGTCTAAAAAGTCTCAGTGTGAGTATGCCCTGAGTTTGATTGTCGTCTCGAAAATGACGGCGTCGTTTTCGAAGCGGCGTTTTCCAAAAGAGCGTTCATGGTCGTGAACTTCTTCGCTAGATATGAACGATCCTCTGAAACCACTGGCAGTACTTGCTAAAGTCGTGCCCGTTAACGCGCCACGATTTTAGGAAACGTACGGGCCACTACAGGAGCGCCCAAATTCATCCAACTACAAACGTTTCTACTTTTTTTTTTTTTTTTTTTTTTTTTTTTTTTCGCGCGGCCGATGGCTTGTCCAAGTACTGGTGGTTGAACGCGGTTGTGGATCTGCGGCACATTTGTACATGTATCTGACAGAGAAGCTGTGTCAGCCACTCGTTCACGATAGCTCTAGAGTGGGTGGGCCATGTTGATATTGGTTTTGCTGAATCTGTGCGTGTGTAGTTGGGGGCGGAGAGAGAGAGAGAGAGAGAGAGAGAGAGAGAGAGAGAGAGAGAGAGAGAGAGAGAGAGAGGTTTTGCGATTGCATTTTGCGGAGGACATGGAGACTGAACAAGGCCGTGAAGCACACACTCCTCCTTGCTGAGGTCTCTCTCCCTCTCGACCTATGTATCTGGTCTCTCTCCCTCTCGACCTATGTATCTGGTCTCTCTCCCTCTCGACCTATGTATCTTGTTGAACTCGTTCTCTATATTCCTTTTTCTTTTGAAACGCATTCTCTTTTCGCTTATTGCTTTCTCCTAACCTCTCCTTCTTTTTCTCCCAACTTCTTTCTCCCTATCCTGCTTTCTCTACTCTCTTCTTTCTCCCTTCCCTCTTTCCTCTCTACCTCTACTCGCTCCCCGCTCCTCTCCTCTCCCCTCTCCCCTCTCCCCTCTCCTCTCCTCTCCTCTCCCATCTTTTCTCTTCTCTTCTCTCTGTCTTCTGTCTTCTCTCCTCTCTTTTTTCTCTTCTCTCTTCTATCTCCCTGTGTCTCCCTCTCTCCCTCTCTCCCTGTCTCTCTCTCTCTCTTCCTCTCGCCCTGTCTCTCTCTGTCTCTCCATCTCTCCTTGTCTTTCTCTCCCCCTCTCTCCCTCTCTTCCTCTCTCCCTGTCTCTCCCTGTCTCTTTTCCGTCTCTCCTTCTCTCCTCCTCTCTCTCTCTCCCTCCCTCTCTCCCTCTCTCGCTCTCTCCCTCTCTACTTCTCTCTCTCTGTTGCTCCCTGTCTCTCCGTGTCTCTCCCGTCTCTCCCTTGTCACCCTGTTTCTCTCTCTCTCTCTCTCTCTCTCTCTCTCTCTCTCTCTCTCTCTCTCTCTCTCTCTCTCTCTCTCTCTCTCTCTCTCTCTCT